GCTCGCTGTTGTCCCGAGGTGCGGGCAGAAACCTGAGGCTGTTCTGTGCACCCGTAGGATTTGGGCAGGGCAAATCCTGTCTTTTAAGCCTCTTCCCTTAAATCTCTCTTCAGACCACGCTGCAGACCGATGAGGTGAAAAATGTTCCCTGTGGTACCAGGTGAGCTGTCGGCGGTTCCCCCCTCGCTTTTGCTGGAAACCTTTGCATCTTTTTGGTTTCTGTGCAGCCACTCTCGGGCGCTACACTAATATTTCCAAACCAGGGCTCCCGTTCCCGGGTCCCGTTTCTGGAGGCGTGTGGGGCGGGGGAGGTGCCGGGGCGGACCCCGCGCTCAGCCCGCTAGAGGGGAGTGTCCTCCAGCCGCCCTGCCCGGCCGCAGGCAGGCCTGGGCCTGCAGCAAGCACCGTGACCCTTTTCCTTCTTCCTTCTGCAGTGGAGGAGTGATGATTTATTTTGACAGAATCGAGGTGGTGAACTTCCTCATCCAGAGTGCAGGTGAGCTCTCCCTGCACCCCGGGGGTTGTGTGCCCTGGGCTGCACTGGGGTTTGGTGCTGGGAGCACATGGGGAGTCCCCCCGTGCCTTGTGGGGCCTGATGCCTCCCAGGAGCAGGCTCTGAACCAGCTCTCCCAGACACCTCGCGTGTCCTTACTCCTCCCAGGTCTTTGTGCTGCTCGTTGCTTTGCTGATACCTGAATCCAGTCTGGTAATTTGTCATCTGTGCAGCTACAGCCCTGCTGGGCTGTGCAGGGAATTGCTTCTGATTGGGATGAGGTGTGCAGGAGACAGTGTCTGAGCCCTGCCTCTGAGCTGGGAGGAGAATGGCCTGTGCAGCCTTGGTTTTTATCATCCTGGTGGTTGCAAGCGTGGTGTGACTGCCTGAGCCCCTGGTCTTGTGCCAGCTGCAAGTCCCTGCTTAAGCACAGACCCCTCAGCCTTTGTCTGCTGCAGTCCAGACATGGCCTGTGTGTATTTGCAGCCAGTGTAGAGAGGGCTGGTACTAGTTTGATGTCCTGGTTACACAGCCTGGCACAGAGTGTTTGCTGGGGGTGTTGTGAAATAATAGCAGTGAATAAAACTCCCCTGAGCAAGGTGTGTGCAGGTTCCTTTTGTGGGTGGTTCTCTTCAGACTGGGGCTGTGACTGAGCTGTGAGGTTTTCATGGCAAGTGCTCAGCCCAGCCTGAGACATCAGAATCATGGAATCATTTTGGTTGGGAGAGACCTTTAAGATCATCAAATCCAACCACACCCCAGCCCTGTCAGGTCCCCACTGCCCCGTGTCCCTCACACCACATCTCCATGGCTTGGAAACCCCTCCCGGGGTGGGGACTCCACCACTGCCCTGGGCAGCCTGGCACAGCCCTGGGCAACCCTTGCAGGGAAAAAGTTGTTCCTCAGGTCCAACCTCAACCTCCCCTGGCACAACTTGAGGCCCTTTCCTCTTGTGCTGTCCCTTGTTCCTTGGGAGCAGAGCCTGACAGCCCCCTGGCTCCAGGCTCCTGTCAGGAGCTGTGCAGAGCCAGAAGGTCTCCCCTGAGCCTCCTTTGCTCCAGGCTCAGCACCCCCAGCTCCCTCAGCTGCTCCTCCCCACACTTGGGCTCTAGACCCTTCCTCAGCTTCGCTGTCCTTCTGGCCATGGTCGAGCCCCTCAAGGTCCTTCTTGGATTGAGGGGCCCAAAACTGACCCCAGGATTCGAGGTGTTGTCTCCCCAGTGCCCAGCCCAGGGGGACAATCCCTCCATGCCACCTGCTAACCCCATTTTCTCTCCTTGTTTTGTAGTGTACGACATAGTGAAGAACTACACAGCTGACTATGACAAAGCTCTCATCTTCAACAAGATTCACCATGAGCTGAACCAGTTCTGCAGTGTCCACACGCTGCAGGAGGTCTACATTGAGCTGTTTGGTGAGCTGCCCCTCTGGCCTCCTGCTCTTGGGTTGGTGGCTCCTCGAGCAGCATTTCTGAGGGTTATTTGCATGGTCTGGTGGTGCAGAACCCACCACCCCCAACTGATGGGCTTTAGAGCCACTAATTCAGTGACTGCTCCCTGTGAGATCAGGATTGTTACCCAGCTGCCATCATTTACTCCTTGGTATCTCCTGGTGCTGAGCACTTCAGTACATAGTAACAGAAACAGACCCAACAGACCCAAACCTGACCAGTCCCTGCCAGTGCTCAGGGCTTCATCTGTGACTGTGGACTCACAAGGAATCCCTGCCAGCCTCTGGGCAGTACCACAGCACTGGCTGCAGGCAGAGTGTTGCTCTGAGTGGGTTTGGGCCCCAAACTGACAAAATTTGTGGCTGGAAGAGCAGGGGGTGTTTGCAGACTCCTGTTCTCTGTTCAGGCTGGGCTTGCCAAGGGGCTGCCTGCCTCTCTGCTCTGACAGGCCCCTGCACACCCTGCAGAGCTGGGGCTCTGCTCCCTCCTCTCCCTCCGTGGGGCTCCAGCAGCTTCTTTGCCAGTGGAGGCTCCAGATGTTGGCAGCTGCTGGTGACAACTGCTTGAAATGGACCCAAAGCCACCGATTTGCACAGGAGGAATTCATATCAACTCCCGTGTGACTTTTTGTTTGAGCTGAATGTTTTCTGGCTGGGGAGGTCTGGAATGGGGCACAGCCCCTTTCCAGCAGATTTATGTTGGTCTCTGCCCCCACATCTGGGAGCAGGTGCAGGAAACTGATAACAGCTGTTTCCTGAACTGCTGGCTGAACTTCAGGGTGACTTCCAGATAGCTGAGCCCGACCCAAGCAAGTAACCAAGGAGCACTTTGCCATCACTCTCAAGGCCCTTCCATTTTTATGTTCCCTTTGCACCTCACAGCAGGCCCCAGCTGGAAGCACCTCTGTCCTTGGAGCTTTTCATTGAAGCAGGGGTTTGGTTTGTGTTTCCTTTTGAAATTTCTCAGCTATGCTGGAGTTCACTCTTGTCCATGGAGCCCAACAGATGTTGCTGATGATTTTTGTTTTCAGGCTGTTAAAATAACTAATGCAGCCATTTCACACCCCTGCCTTTCTGTGTTCCTTGCCTCCTGCTGGCACAGACATGGTTTAGCTGGACCATGTTACTTCAGGATCTAGCTGGGAAAGTAGCAGTGGGGAAGTGGGTTAGAGCACAGACTCTTTATGGTAAAGGTGCTACCTCTGGCTCAGAAGGATTCCAAACACAGATTATGGGAAGTGGGAGGAGTTTCACTGCATGCCTGCCGTGTTCCTGGAGCCTGTCTGGAGTGTTTGGTGCTGGTCTGTGCTGCCTGACACAGGAACATGCCTCGGGGTCCAGGGTAGGTTTTTCTCAGCCCAGCACTTCTGCTTCAGACTCACACTTGTACTTGCTTTCCAGGAATAAGAAATCTGAACCATTCCAGCTCATTCTGTATGTGTTGACAGCAAGCTGCCTTGTGGGGGTTTTAGTTACCTTTTTTTTTTCCCCTCTGATCAGATCAGATTGATGAAAACCTGAAACTGGCCTTGCAGCAAGACCTAACGACGATGGCTCCTGGGTTAATTATACAGGTAATCAGGATTCTGCCTCGGGGTGTCTAAGGGAGGGGAAAGGGCTAAAAGGAAACAGCAAGCTGTGAAACTTCTATAAAATTGCTTTATGATACAGACTTGAACTTGAGGAATGAGAACAGGTTCCTTTCCACCCCCTCTTAGCTCTGAAGTGTTGGGTTTCCCTTGGTGTGATCCTGGGCCCTGGTTTACTCCAGGGATCATCTCCTGTCCTGTCAGGAGACACAGTCCAGTGTTTGCTCTGGGGGGTTTGGACCTGGGCACGATTTCTGCAGCGTGTGGAAGCTTTGTGTGGCAGAGCATGCCCAAAGTGTTAGCTCCCCATCCTCTGCAGCCTCGGGGGCCACTGGGTTTTGGTTGTTGGCTGCTTGCCGATGTTTCCTTGGGTCTCTCTCTCCAGGCAGTTCGAGTTACAAAGCCAAACATCCCTGAAACAATCCGGAGGAATTACGAGCTCATGTAAGTGCCTGAGACTTGCACCTTTGTGTTTCCAAACAGAGTCACTCATCCAGACTAATGTGTTTTCACAGCAGGCAGGGTCAGGCTGGCCCCTGCCAGGCCCGTGCTCGGCCGCGTGCTGCCCTTCTGAAGGGCCTGGGGAGGCTGCAGGGAGCAGCACGTGCCGGGTGCTGGGAGGGGCCTGCAGGTCCCTGCTGAGGCAGAAGGTGTTTCTCCATTTTTGAACACGTGAGCACAGAAGTTGAGTGCCCAGGGGCTTCTTCCTGGTGACACAGGCCCTGTTTTAAAGAGGCCTCCCCAGAGCACGTGAGCGAGCGGCTGGTGAGTGGATGGATTCCACCACTAATCCTGCTGTTTGAATAGGATGGAGAAACTGTTGATTCAACAGCTGAAGACTTGCAAAGCTTTGAAATAACTTTCTTTAATAGCACTTGACCTCTGGATGCGTGCTGAGTGCCCTGAGCCAGCTGCCTTCTCTTGCCCTTGGCCGTTCAGCAGTGCTTGTGTTCTCTGAGCACGCTGCCAGTGGAGTCTGTAGGACAGAATTAAGATCCCCCTCATCCATTTTGCTTCCCTACCATGTCACCTGACCTTTTGGTATGGTGGTGAGCCATGTGCAGCATGGTGGTGACGGGCAGAATCCAAAATCATCCCATTACCTGTTGCCATACATGCAGCAGGGGATGTGTTGAGAGAGCTTTGCTCTTGGCTCTGATCTCTCCTCCCTGATCAGGAGCAGAGTATTTTATTTACATACACACTTTTAAAACTTCTTGTACAGAAGAGTAAGACAGAAAAGTCTTTAGAAGGTGAAAGGCTTAGAGCTGTTAGATTGACTGAAGGGTGATCTCAAAGCTGTGTCCTTCCAAAGGCAGGAGCAGCCATCTGGCAGGGCAAGGATCTTACAGCATTTTCATTTCTTGAAATAATTTCCTCATTAACAATAGCCCCAAAACCTTAGAGGTGTGTGTAGTCTGTGACCTGCCTCTTGTGGGAGGTGTCCTGGCAGGCTGCAGAGGGCAGGGGGGTGTTTCACCCTGACTTGGCTGTGTGGAGGGGAGCGAAGGACGTTTTGGTTCAGAAGCAGAGTGTGTGCAGGTCCCTGCACTCTGAGCTGCCTGCCCTCGCAGGGGCCCTGAGCCAGCAGCTCATGGAGATGTGTTAGGCCCCACCAGTAGGGTCATGTTTTGTAACTGGCTGCTTGTGGCCCACCAGGGAGAGTGAGAAGACGAAGCTGCTGATTGCAGCCCAGAAGCAGAAGGTGGTGGAGAAGGAAGCGGAGACGGAGCGGAAGAAGGCGCTCATCGGTCTGTCTGCCCCCAGGCAAAGCTCCAGGGGCGTGGGGGGCAGGCAGCAGGGACCCAGCCACTGGGGAGGGGTGTGCCTGGATCATGGGTGGGTGATCTCTCCTCTCCTCCCTTCCATGCTGAGCTGAAACTCTACCAGAGGAACTTGGGAGTTTATCAGGCTCCAGCTCTGCCCTCAGATGTAGCCTGACCCCTTCCGAGGGCTGGATCTTCTCCCACAGCTGACTTCCACCAGGAGGGGGTGGCGAGGGCTTCTAAGGGGAAGCTGCTGCTGGACTCAGGAGGACTGTGTGATGACAGCACAGATGTGTTCCTGTTCATTTCAGAGGCAGAAAAAATTGCACAAGTTGCTGAAATAACTTATGGACAGAAGGTGATGGAGAAGGAAACGGAGAAGCGAATTTCAGAGATTGAAGGTGAGTGGTGAGATTTCCACTGGGTCCTGCAGCCCGTGCTGACATCCACAGGGGTGAATTTACCACAGTCTTTCCTCTTAGCCCTTGTCTGTGGCACCTTGGGTAGTGCAGTTCTGAGGAGTTGTGTCTGAACAGGCTGCCAGCTGTCACACCAAAGTGAAAGTGTCCTAAAGTCTCACTGAGTCCTGTGGGGCAGCCACACCTCTGGATTGTCTGCAGTAAGCTTGGCTGCTGGGAGCTTTCTGTCCTTTTCTTGCTTAGGATTCTTCTAGAAGCTGTTTCTTGGAGGGAAGAAGAGGTAGGCAAATGTAGCTTTAGTTTTTTGTGTAGTGTGATATATTTAGCAAACAAAACCTGGCTATTAGACAGTCTGCAGCAGCAGGGGTCTGTTATGTGGCTTCCAGCTCCTGAAGGTTGAGAGAAGGGGAGGGGGAGCTGCTGCTTTTGTATTTTCCTTTAACCAGTAAATCTGGAATCTCCCTCTTTAGTTTGCACTTCTGCTTTTTCATCCTTTAGTTCTGCAGTGAACTACTTTCAGGAACAGGAATAGGAACGTTTCTTTGCAGAGTGTCCTTCTTTAATCTCTTTTGCAAGGTGATCTTTCTCAAAAGTTGTGCTGTTAAGATGATGTCCCCCCAACCACCTGATGCAGTGCTTTGTGAAGGAAATGCCAGGACATGAAAAGGGCATTTCCAGCTCAGAGTGGCAAGGCCTTATTTTCAATTACTTTCATTATAAGCCCTGTCAAGCTTTGTAGAAGGCCACTGAGGAGCCAATTAAGAGTTTTACAGATCAGCAGCTTCTCATTAAGAAGTTCTTTGCAGAAATACAATGGTTTTATTTCTTATAAATGCATGTCACTGGGTGTCAGGCCTGAGGATTCCTGCCCCCCCCTCCTTCTCCCCTGTGTCTCTGAGTGGGGCTGCTCTTTTTAGCCAAAAGAGAGGAAGTTGTGGGCCAAACTGTCTGACTGCTTACATGATTTTGAAGTGCAGCAGCTCACGGGGCTCCCTGCTAGGGTAAATAAATGGTTTATGCAGCTGTGCAGCTCTCCAGGCCAGCCTGGGATGTGTTGCAATCACGTGGCTCCCTGTCACAGGAAGAATGTCAGGAGATCAACAACAAACCAGCCAGACTAAGCTCATCTGAGCCTTAACGTGGCTTCTTATCACTGGCTAGACTAAAAGTCAGAAGGAAGAGGAGTACAATACAAGGAGGGGAGGAGTTTCTTCCCTTAAATGCCTCTGCTAGGGGCTGGGGAATTTCCATGTCCTGCAGGACCAGAGCCTTGATGCAGTTGTGGATCTTGCATTGGAGCAGAGCCTCTGAAGGTTCAAGCCCCCTATCCCTGGGAGCCAGACCCTCAACCTTGGTGTCCTGGGCACAGTCCCCCAGGGAAAGCTGCACCCCCAGCCCCAGGCACAGTCCCCTGGGGAAAGCTGCACCCCCAGCCCCAGAGCTCATCTGCAGCACAGCCCCCTGTGCTCCTGGCGTCCCCGTGGCTGCCCGGGAGCAGCTCCTGCATTTGCAGCAGGATTGCTGGTGGCTGGCTGGAGAAGAAAGAGCAGTGAGCCCACGTGAGGGGCACCCTAACCAGAACCGTGTGTTCTGCAGTGCTCTGAGCTCTGCAGCTGCAGCTGGCTGCTTCAGTGCTGCCCTGCAGCTCCCTCCTTGTCAGCTGAGATCCCCTTGCTGGTTTCCCGTGCTGCCCCCTCCCCTTGCTGTACCCCCTGCAGTTCAGAGGTGGTGCTGGCCACTTTGAAAAGCTTCCAGCCACCAAGGGTGTGAACATGGCTGCAGATAAAACCCTGACTAGGAGAGCCTGTGTTCTCTTCCAGATGCTGCATTTCTTGCAAGAGAGAAGGCAAGAGCTGATGCTGAGTGCTACACTGCTATGAAAGTAGCTGAGGCCAACAAGGTACTGTTCCTTCCTTACACTGTGCTTGGAGCAGGGCTCCTCACGTGAGGCTGTGTAGAAACACTGAACAGAAGTATTGCTTTATTTTGTGTTTATTGTATGCTTGTTGTGTCTCATTGGTTAAGTCAAAAAGCAAATCAAAGCTCTCTCCTCTCAGAATAGTTTCCATCAAGACTGGAACCACTAGAGCCTTATTTGCAAATTCCTTTTTTTCTCTGGACAGATAAATTTATGTCAGTACCTGAAATATCTGGCTGTGCCTGGAGATGGTTCTGCTAGATGTGAACAGGGCCTTGGCTCCCCCTGTATAGACAGGATCAGTTTTGGTGTTGCCCTTTGGTACTGTTGTAATTAGAAATGTTGATCCCTTCCAAACTGCAGCTGGCAAGTGGTCAGAGCAGGAGTGACAGGCAGGCTTAGAGTAAACAGCATGAGGTAAAAAACAAACAGAGTTGATCCTACACTCAGACTGACTGAACTGGCAAAGCCTTGGTCCTGCAGAAGGAAAAACAAAACCCAGAAAAAGGGAGATTATATGGGTAGAACTGCTGGGCTTGTTCCTGCCTACAGCACGTTCCCAGGACACCCCAGCAGGAAGAGTTTCTGTTCTGTAAGGGTCAGTGACAATGGACAGAGGTCTGGGATGTTTGTGCATGAGATTTGTCCCAGTTATTCTATCCTCTCTGTTCTAATGTCATTATCCTGAACGAATGAGCTCTGCTCTCCAAAACAGTCAATCTGCTCTCTGGAAAAAAGCCACTTGTATTTTTCTTTCCAGTAGCTTGCCTTGCAAGGGCTTTCAGTGAGTTATGTGCTTTTGAGCACCTCCATCTCTGCTACATTTGGCTTGAACATTTCCCCAGCTGCTTCCATCACTTCCTTCTCTTGCCATCCAGTCCCTGAGATTTAGAGCTTTGCTTACATGTGCAGAAGGAGAGGAGAGCCTTCTGGGCACTCCATCTTCCCAGCTGAGGAGAGGGCAAGTGTGCCTGCTAGTGGTGTGGAACAGTAGATACTCCTCCTGCTCATGACAGAAATTTGCATGTGATTGAATCCAGGCTGGCTGGGGTGCATTCAGGAGAGTGTGGCCAGCAGGTCGAGGGAGGTTCTCCTCCCACCTCTGAAATCTTATGTGCCTTTCTGAGCACCCCTGTTCCAGTGAGACAGAGAGCTCCTGGAGAGGCTGTTGGAGGCTCTGAAGCTGCTGAGGGGCCTGGAGCATCTCTGTGCTGAGGAGAGGCTGAGAGCTCTGAAGCTGTTGAGCCTGGAGAAGAGAAGCCTGAGAGGGGATCTCATCAGGAGCTAAAGGGCCCCGGGGGGCAAGAGGCTGGGGCCAGACTCTGCTCAGTGGTGCCCAGTGACAGGACAAGGGGCAACGGGCACCAACTGGAACCCAGGAGGTTCCACCTGAGCAAGAGGAGAAACTTCTCTGCTGGGAGGGTGCAGAGCCTGGAGCAGCTGCCCAGAGAGGCTGTGGAGTCTCCTGCTCTGGGGAGATCCCAAACCCTCCTGGCTGTGACCCTGGGCACCCTGCTGTGGGTGAGCTGCTGGAGCAGGGAGGGCGGTGGTGATCTGTCCCTTCCAGCCCCACCAGTCTGGGATTCTGTGATTCTCTGATGCTGTTTCTTTTCCTGCAGCTGAAGTTAACTCCTGAGTACTTGCAGCTGATGAAGTACAAGGCTATTGCTGCAAACAGCAAGATCTATTTTGGCAAAAATATCCCCAACATGTTCATGGACTCTGCAGGAAGCCAGACCAAATTTGAGGGACTGGCAGAAGGAATCCAAGAAGAGGATGGAGCAGGAAGCAGTGAGGACACAAAACTCCTTCATCACACCAACTGAAAAGGAAGATTTCTATTCTTTTTATATCAAAAGAAACATGAACTGGGAAGTTCCTTTTTGTTTTCCCCCTTTCCCATACTGAGAGAGATGAATCAGATTTATTCCTTTCAATCTTTTGTATGACAATTAGACACAAAGACTTTGGTATTTATGGGGTGGTTTTTGTGGTAACTTCTAAGCAGCCAGCTCCAGGTATGTCCTCTGGATGCACCTCTCCCTGCTCTTGGACATAGAGACCAAATTATTCTGGAGAGGCTCACTAGACTTTGTTCTGCAGCCAGCTTAGATGGGTGTTCAATTTTGGATTGAGGTTGTTCTGTAGCAGTTGAGAGTAAAATTTTGAGGGTTTGAAGGGGGGGAGTTGCCACTACAACTTGTTGTTTGGGTTTCTTTTTTTCTTGTTGGCAATTTCAAGTACTTTATTTCAACCCCCTTTTAAAAAAAGGTGCTAGATGCTTGTACACTACCTGTGTCTGCTCAGAGGCTCGAGGGGGAGGTCGGTGCCTGTTGGGTGAGTGCTGGGGTGGTCTAACAGCCTCTGTCTGTGCTCCAGGGTTCTCCTGAGCGCAGGGGCAGCCCCTGCACACCCCCAGCTGCACAAAACCTCCTGTCACCCAGGTTGGAGCCCATTGTTCTGCCTCGGTGGGGCAGCTGAGGCCACGTTAGAGCAGTTCAGTGAAATCCTGCAGGTCACCGGGCCGGGGGTGGATCTGAGCCTGAGACAGTGTCACACAGGTAGTGGCCCAAGCTGTTCCTGTTCTGCTTCTTAACACTGGTTTGTTTTCCACTTCTTGTTGTTGTTTGAGGCTTTTTCCAGCAGTTGAGCTGCTAGGTGAGGGGTGTGGGTGTGCTGATGGGGGCAGAGTCCTGCCAGCGGGTCGCTGGACCTGCTGTTGAGTGGAACCAGGCCACAGGCATGGCACATGTCACAGCTGGGAGAGCTAGGCAGAAAAAGGGCTTTTGTCTCAGGGATCCTGACTTGGCAAAAAGCCTTCCTGGCGAGTAACTGCTTGAATGACTAGCTCTGTGGTCACTGTGGGATGTCACCTGCCTCTGCAAGACCAGCGGGGTTCTGGTGTTCACAGTGTCCTCAGCAGGTAAAGTGAGATGATTTGGACTGAGTTACTGCTGGGTTCAGGGCTTTTTATCTGAATAGGCCTTGCAAAAGGAGGAGTTACAAGTTGTATAGGACACAAAACATCCCAGGGCAAAGAGTGTCTTGTCTCTGAGCTGCCCAAAGGTGAATGTTCCTCCTCTGCTCAGCACAATGCTACATAACATACCTTCTCTTCAGAAACCCTCTGAATTCTTCATGTACCAGGTGCAAAGAGGTGATGAGGGTTTGCTTTACACAATGCAGAACTTGAGGGGGTGTTAAAGACAAAAGCTCAGGCCTGGAGAGCAGGTCTGTGTGTTTCCCTCTCCCTGATCTGCTGCTTGGCAGCAGAGCCTGGTGGTAACTGCTGGGAGGATTTGCAGCCAGTGCTCCAACAGGAGGGGTCCAAGTGGGGGAGCTCACTGGCTTGTCAGACCAGCCTGTTGCATTTACAGCCTCATGCCCAGACACTTGCTGCCTGCTACACTTGGTTTTCCTCTTCAGAGTTTTAAACATGCATTAGTCTTTTTAATAAGCTGATCACACTAAGATAGAAATCTGATGAGTTTCAGCTGCTGGTTCCAATATTTTTACTTCAATTTTCTCTGTTAGGAAAGTTGATACTTGAAAATGCAAAATAAAAGATGTGTCAGTCTCTACTGGAGAAAAGTCCCATCTCCTGCCTGTCTTCTCTGTGTTTGTTAGGAAATAAACACTAAGGGAAGTTCATCTCCAGGCCTGTGCACTACATCAGACAACAAAGCAGCCAAAACCAGGCATCAATAGGCAGGCAGTAATATTAATGACTTTATAAATAGCTCTCTGCAGAAGGATTATGAACAGGGAGCAGCAGAAACTTAGCAGTGAGGCAATAGTACCTAAGCCTGTGGGGTGACCTCATTTGGGATTGTTCTACATTCATGTCAGGGATTTCCATTGGTAACTAAACACTAGTTTATACACCAGGATTATTCACTAATGAAAAGACCCAAATGAGCCAAAATAGTATTAGAAAGTATGGTTTTGTAGGACTACACAGTAATTTGGGATCAGTAGGTCTTAATGATTTCTTTTTTTAATTGGAAACGTTACTGCTAAAGCCTTCTTGGAATTCAGTTAAACTGTAGTAAGAGTGAAGAAAGGAAGAACAATGTTGAAATTGTACCAGTCTTCACAAGCCAAAATCCATTGCTGGGTTTTCAGGTTTCTTTATTGTGTATGTCACTTCCAGAGTTGATGTCACTACATGTAAATCCTTATTCCATCTGTCTCTTTGACTGGCATGTCGCCCTGTTTCTGTAATCTGAAATCTTTAAGAAAATCTGAATTCCCAGAGCACTCTGACAAGGAAGATGCAGGTTTGTGGCACTGCTGGTCCCTGAGATTCGCTGGCAGGAGCAGGGTTGTGCTTCACCAGTCCAGTCTTTGATCTTACATACTGAATTAAAAGCCTTTTTATTTTGATATTTGCTATGACAATTAAAATCGCCTTCAATTTTAATATCCCTCTGGTTTTGGTTTTTTTTTTCCATGGATAACCTTTAACACAATGTGCAGATTTATTTGCAGGGGTAGGTTTACCTGTTCTGGTGAGCAGAGAGGGGCAGAGGTGTCCCTGTGGGCCCTGCAGCCAGCCAGTGAAAAACCCAGTGACAAGCCTTCAGTGGCAGATATCTCAGATTTGGTAAAGTTTGCAGAAAAGCATTGTCATGTTTTAGCAGACAAAGGGCAGGAACCTTCTGGGGGTTTTTCAACAGCTGTGTAAATACTGTCAGGGCTCAGGATACGGGAGGGAGAGTAAGTTCTGCACATTAAGGCAAATACTTTAGCTAATGGGTTCCAGCTGGCGGGGTCCCATTCCTTCCATCCGCTCAAGGGTGGCATTGTCTGCAGCATCTCCCGTGCCATGCCTGGCTGTGGGGGGGGTTGTGGCCACGCTCCAAGGGCTCCCCCCGGCCCTGCTTTGGGGAAGGTTTTTCTCTGAAACGACTGAAATTCGCACCCTTGGGACACTGCTCTTGTGTAGGTGGAAAGTGTTGTTACTTTTGGGGGTGGGTTGTGGAGTGTTTTTGTTTTGGGGAATGTTTTTTCTTGGAGTAGACAAGGTGTGCAGGTCAGAAGGTGTCACGCAGAGGGTGATGGAGCCCTGGAGCTTGTGGATCCTCTGTCACCATCCTGGGCACCCTGCTCTGGGT